CGCCGCCGCCGCCGCCTCCCGGCCCGCAAACACTGCGCTTGTTGGCCCGACTAGGCATCGCACCAGGCGGTATCCCCACAGGGGTCGCCATCTTCTCTCACCGCCACCACTTCCGCACGGAAACTAACACCGCACGCAGTAGGGGACAAAAAGGACCCGGTACTCAAAACGCGGAGGACCAACGGAGGGTGGGCGGGGAGAGGAGAGTGCGCATGCGCCTCGCCTAGGCGCCTGCCCCGCCAGGAGGCTCAGCAGTTTGGAGCCTGCTTGGGGCGCGGCCGCCGTGAACCTGACCTGTTGAAGCGCTGGGGGTGGGGTCCTATGGACCGCAGACTGGATCTGCAAGTATAGTTAGTAGGCCTTCATTTGTCCATGCACAAGATGAAATTCTTGCGGGATGATGAGACTTGTGGTCTCTGCGAAGGTGCCAGATCCATTCTGGATATTCTTCCCCGCCCCTAGCTTGTTAAAAATTGTAGCCTTCCGTCATTCTACTCATGCAATGTGACTCGGCACCTTGGGGAGCTCGAGTCAGGCATCCCCTTCCCGCAGGGAACTCGGTTTACGTAAACACAAAGCGTGGTATAGTAGGGCGAGTAGTAATTCTCTCGAGCGCCGATTGTGGCCAGGCTCGACACAAGCATGATCTCATTTAGTTCGCCTCACGTCTCCGTGAGAACATACTCATTCGCTCAGCAAACATTTCTTGAACTCTACGAGGGGTGAGGATCACCCATCTAGTAAGTGGAAGAACTGGTACCCGATCTGTCTGACTTCATAGTTCCACAACTTTTTTCTGCCAAGTTATGTGGGTGATAAAAATTATTCTTTCGTGGTATCTTCAATGATTCATTCATTCATTCATTCATTCAGCCTCTCAGCATTTATTGAAACCCTACTCTGTCTCCATCAGTGCGCAAATAGGGGTGGATCCAAGAACACTATACATAAAGTTGAGTGGGTCTGGAGTTAAGCAGCAAGCTTTCCAGGCAGAAGGGACCGTGAGCGCAAAGGTCCGAGGCTCGGGAGGCGCCCACTACCTGGGGAAAGAGGCGGTGGCTGCGGAGGGTAACCCGGGGCTGCGGAGTGCGAGACCGTGGGGGGCGGTGCAGGCGAGGCAAGCCAGCGTAGGCGTCCTGAGCAATCAAGGAGCTTTCTCGCCGGGCGGGCGCCCTCTTTGCACCTGAACTGTCTGCATTCGAGATCCGCGGATCCCGCAAACGTCAGCAAAGGCTGTTCCCTCCCACGCGCGCGTTGCCCGTCGGGATGTGAAGTTCGAAAGGGTGACGTTGCTTCTATGTGGCGGTTGCCGCTGGACCAGCGGGACCAAGGCCTCCTCCCGGTGGGACCGAGGAACCTGTCATTTCTGCCCTCTGCTAGTTAATGATAGCGCGGAGAGAGAACAGTTTCTTAAGGATTTTGGAAAATTTAGCCCGGAGAAGGAACGGCTGAAGGCAACTTGGAAAAAGTGTTCACTTAAAATGAGTGTACATTGTAAAGGAAGGTGTTGACTGTCCGGCAAATCCACAGGCGGAAAGAGAGCACAAGGGTGATTATTAAATAGCACCTGTGATTTGCCTGTAATGGGTGCGCGCGCATGGGTGGGAACAACCTTTGCAGGGATAGGGGTGGGGATGGGGTGTGGAAGCAGGTTCAATTGTAGAAAAATTTTTAAATGACTCTTGAGACCTTGGAAAATGGTGAGTGGTAAATTCAGGCCTTACTCCGTAGGCAGGTAGCTGATTAGATAAAGGTGTTTTTGTCTGTTTGTTAACATAATATTTTCCCTTTATTTTAGAGCCTAAACGTGCCCCTACTGGGGGGGATTGAATCCGAAACCTGGGTATGTGCCCTAACTGGAATCGAACCCGCGACCCTTCTGTGCACAGGAAGACACCCCGACTACAGGGGCCAGGGCTGATTAGATAAGGTTTTAATGGATGGTCTCAGGGAGAATCTCTCTCAACTTAATTGTTTTGTTTGTTTCAAAACTTAACAGTGACAAAGCAAACAAATATGAGCAAATGCCTTAAGTAGACATTTCTTCAAAGGTATATAAATGGCCAATAAGCACATGAAAAGATGCTCAACAACACTAACAATTAGGGTATTGCAAATCAAAACTGCAATGAGATATCACTTCATTAGGATGGCTACTGTAAAAAACAAAACAAAACAGAGAATACCAAGTGTTAGTGAGGATGTGGAGAAATTGGAACCCTTGTGCATTGTTGGTGGCAATGTAAAATGTTACAGGGGCTGTGGAAAACATGTAGGTGTAATTGTAGAAATTTTTTGTATGGTGGTTCTTCAAAATATAAAACATAGACTTGCCATATGATCCAGCAATTCTGGTTCTGGGTGTATACCCAAAATAAGGGAAAACAGGCACTCAAACAGATATGTATTTATTTTAAAATGCATTTTTGTTGACTTTAGAGAGAAAGGGAAGGAGAGATAAAAACATCAATGATGAGTAAAAATCATTGATCGGCTGCCTCCTGCACGCCCCACTCTGGGGATTGAGCCTGCAACCTGGGCATGTGCCCTGACCAGGAATTGAACTGTTACTTCCTGGTCAATGTGCAACCATTGAACCACGCCAGACAGGCTCAAACAGATATTTATATACCCATGCTCATAGCAGCATTATTCACAATAGATAAAACATGGAAGCAACCCAAGTGTTCATTGATAGGTAAATGGATAAGCAAAATGTGGTATATACACACAATGGAATATTATCCACCTCAAAAAGGAAGAAAATTCTGATATAAGATATAACATGGATGAAAATTGAGGTTATTTTGCTAAGTGAAATAAGCTAGTTACAAAAAGAAAAATATTGTATGATTCCATTTATATGAGGTATGTAGAGTAGTAAGATTCATATAGACAGATTGTAGAACGGTTGTTGCCAGGGGTTTGCGGGGAGGAGGAAATGGGGGTTATTATTTAATGGGTAGAGTTTCAGTTTTGCAATATGAAAAGAGTTATATGGATAGATGGTGGTGATGGTAACACAATAATGTGAATGTACTGAATGTCACTGAACTGCACACTTAAAAATGGTTAAAATTGTAAATTTTATGTTATATATATTTTATCACAATAAAAAAATTGGAAAAAAACTTACTGGAAAGATACTGAAAACCACCAATACATAATGACACCCCCGCCCCCCCCCCCACACAAACTCTATAATAAAAATCCCTTCCCCTACTTCTCTCACCCTACTCAACCCCTGGAGTTATAACCGTCTATCTATATATATAAAAGGCTAATATGCAAATTGTCCCCTTGGGCGTTCGACCGGGAGACTGGGAGTTCAATCACTTGCTATGATGTATGCTGACTGTCAGGGAAGGAAGACCCTGGCTGGCAGCCAGAAGGCCCTGATTGGCCCTGATCACTGGCCAGGTCTAGGGACCCTACCCATGCAGAAATTTTGTGCACTGGGCGTCTAGTTATTAATAAGTTGGTGGGCATTCTTTCCATTTCCCCCTGAAGTTTATATATTGATATATCTGTATTTATAAATATACTAGAGGCCAGTGCACGAATTCGTGCACAGGTGGGGTCCCTTGGCCTGGCCTGCAATTGGGGCCGATGGGGGCCAGCTGGCCGGGGGCAAGGACTGCAGGATGTTGGCCGGCTGTGGGAGGTTGGCTGTGAGAGTGCACTGATCACCAGGGGGAAGCTCCTGTATTGAGCATCTGACCCCTGGTGGTCAGTATGCATCATAGGTACCAGCTGGTCGTCTGGTCGTAATGGTCACTTAGGCTTTTATATATATAGATTATATGCCTAAATACACATATACCATATACACATATTCAAAATACATATATGTATGTCCAGCTGGCTTGGCAGTGGTTGAGCATTGACCTATGAGCCAGGAGGTCACAGTTCAATTTCTGGTCAGGGCATACTAGTATGCCTGGGTTGCAGGCTCGAGCCCCAATAAATGACTACAGGAGGCATGCAGGAGGCAACCAATTGGTGATTCTCATCATCGATATTTCTCTCTCCTTCTCCCTTCCTCTCTGAAATCAATTAAAATATGTATAAAAAAACAAAAAAGAACCCCCCCCCAATGCATATATAGTATCTACATGTATATTCACACACAGATTTATGTCTAGAGACAGTGTACTAGATGATTATATGCTGGTACTCCAGAGCCAGAGTTTCCTGAGTTGCATTCCAGGCTCTAGTCATTTACTAGGTGTTTAGCCTTGGGCAAACTATTTAATCTCTATGCCTAGACTTCCTCATCTTTGAAATGGGATAACAATACCTAACCTTAAAAGACTGTGAGGATTACATGAGATAATATGTGAAAAGTTCTTAGAACACTGTTTGACACATTATCAATACAATTTAAGTATTAGCTATTATGATGATGCATTTTGTCTGCAACTTATTTTTATTTAATATATAGTGTGATGTAGACAAATCTAGCTTTTTTAATGATTCCATTCTGTAGTATGAATATACCATTATCTATCTAATTATTTCTTGATTAATAAACATAAAATATTTTTGCTATTATACATAATGCTGCAACAAGCATACCAGCATCCTCCTATTGCTCTCTTTATATATCTGCATTTCTTTCTTTTTTTAAATTGATTTTTAGAGAGAGAGGAAGGGAGAGAAAGAACACTGATCTGTTGTTCCACTTATTTATGCATTTATTGGTTGTTTCTTTTTAAAAATATTTTTTATTTCAGAGAAGAAGGGAGAGGGGGGAGAGAGAGAGAGAGAGAGTGAGAGAGAGAGAGAGAGAGAGCAATGCTGGTGAGAGAGAGAGAGAGAGAGAGAGAGAGCGCAATGATGTGAGAAACATTCATCGGCTGCCTCCTCCATGCCCCTACTGGGGATTGAACTTGCAACCGGGCATGTGCCCTGACTGGGAATCAAACCATGACCTCCTGGTTCATAGGTTCACGCTCAACCACTGAGCCATGCCAGCCAGGCTGATTGATTCTTGTAGGCGCCCTGATTGGGGATTGAACCTGCAACCTTGGTGTATCAGGACAAACACTCTAACCAACTGAGCTATCTGGCCAAGGCTTGCATTTATTTCTTAGAATTCCTTTTTAAAGTAGAGTTACTGGTTCAAATTGAATATAATTCCCATGGCAGGAGATATGCTGTTGAACTCCCTAGGAAGTCTGGGGAGGCTTAATTGTTTATGGTGGTGTTATTTCATTGCTGCCCATGAAAAATGTGCCATTTTGCCCTTACACCAGCAATGTATGAGAATGCCTTTCCCCCCATAGCCTCACTAACAGAGTATGTTGTCAACAGTTTGGACTTTCTGCCAGTTTGTAGGAAGAAAAAGTGTAGTTTTAATTTGTATTTCTCTTGTTTTGACTGGGATTGAACATCTTCCCATGTTAAAAGACATTTGTATTTCTTTGGTCAACTGTCAGTACTGGTTCTCTTTGTAAATTAATATATCAGCATTAGGTTTCAAAAGGAGTCTTGAATATCAATCAGTCTAGATGTAAGCTCCATGAAAATCAGGGCTTTCTGTCTGTTTTAGTCACTACTGTATCCCATATGTCATCTGGCAAATGCTCCATAAATATTTGCTGAATGAATGATTGGTTATTGCTAGTCAGTAAGTGTAATGAGAGTCTTATAAACTTGAGAGAATAAATAAAAGTAATTTCAGCCCTAGCTGGTTTGACTCAATGGATAGAGCATTGGCCTGTGAACTGAAGGGTCCCAGGTTTGAATCCGGCAAGGGCACAAGCCTGGATTACAGGCTCGATCCCCAGTAGGGGGCATGCAGGAGGCAGCTGATCGATGATTCTTTCTCATCATCATTGATGTTTCTATCTCTCTCCCTGTCCCTTCCTCCCTGAAATCAGTAAAAATATATTTTAAATAAAAGTAATTTCAGGCCCTCCCAAGCTGAAGCTCATGATTTTTTGTTTTTTTATTGTGGTAAAATACATATAACAAAATTTATTATCTTAACCATTTTTAAGTGTACAGTTCAGTAGTGTGAAGTACTGGCAACTGCTATCTACTATCTGCTCTATGAATCTGACTACTCCAAATACCTCATATAAGTGAAATCATATAATGTTTGTTCTTTTGTTACTAGTTTATTTCACTTTACATAATATCCTCAAGGTTCATCCATTTTGTAGCATATATCAGAATTTCCTTACTTTTTAAGGCTGGATAATATTCCACTATATGTATACATTATATATTGTTCATTCATTTATCTATCGATGCACACTATTGTGGGTGGAAGGCGGGTGGGGGAGCGGCAGGGTCAAGCATGGCAGACCACATTTTCTCTATTCCCCTCTAGCCTCGCGCCTGGACTGTGCCCCTGGGCTAAATCGGCAACATGAGCAGCAAGAACTTGGATGAGAAAGATGACTTTGATGAGCAGTTGCGAATGCAGAAGTTGTATGGAGACACTGAGGATGGAGATACTCAGAAAGATCCCAGTAGAGAAACCAATTCTTTCAGACAGCAGCCAGATGACACCCCCTACGAGTGGGACCTGGATAAGAGAGCTTGGTTCCCCAAGATCACTGAAGATTTCATTGCTACATATCAGGCCAATTATGGCTTTCCTAATGATGGTGTGTCTAGCTCTACTGCAAATGTTCAAGATGTTAGTAGTAGGCCTGCGGAGGAAACTCCTCAAAGAAAAACCTCTGAACCCAGTGATCCCAAAAATAGGGGAGAAAAGAGAAAGGCTGAATTAGGATGGTTTCATGTTGAAGAAGACAGAAATACAAATGTATATGTGTCTGGTTT